GCTCGTGTGTGTGCCTCATGAACCATTTTAATTATATTATTATTATTACTTATTTTACCTAATCTAGTCTTGAATAACTTGGAGATCCATACTTTTAATTTTAGTTACTTTTAGAATAATAAATAAAGAACAAATATGAAAAACAAGAAATAAAGTACTTGCCTTCGATTGTTGAGGAGAGGTAAGCCTGATTTTTTTTAGTGATTATAGTAAAGTCAGTGATCTCTCAAACATAGGTTTAACCCTTCTCTTCCCTCTGTACCACATGGCTCTCAATTTCTGACATGGTTATTTGACAAAGTTTTAGCAGCTTTATCTATTGCCCTGTATAAGGCTGTTTTATTGGCTACTCTTTGATTTTCTTAGAGAAGAAAAGTTTTGAGTCCTGGTTTTGTCATTACTTCTGAAATCATTTAAGGTTATCTGTCCACATAGAGCTTTTCAGGTTCATAATGGGAAATCACAGTGGTTCTCCATGCCTTATCTTGTCCACCTTTTGAACCTTTAGGGTCATGTTCATATATTATCTTTCACTCAAGACTTATTTTCTTCTGTTTTTGGCTAGCGGGCATTGATGTTTGGATATGTTTGCACTTCTTGTTCACAAGATTCTTTACTATTCGACTTATGTTCTGTTGTATCCAGACAGGTGTTTTCTACCCAAAACTGCAGCTGCTAGAGAAGGAGATAAGACTTTCTCTCCTATTCGTCTTCACTCCATTTCACATTTATTCGACTGCTCAGATCCAGATTGTCTTTTATGCCTGGTTAAGCTCTGATGTTATGTGGCATGCACTGAAGCATTTGTTTATCTATTGGGATTCTACTGTATCATGTGACTTATCCCCTTTCACTTTGACAAGTTGGATTTGTCATTTTGTGTGTATGGCTTACTCTCGGCTTTCATTGAAGAAGTGGAGTTTTCTTTGGGTCTCATCTCATCAAGTTTGACATATCTTGATGTCCCTGGCAGCTCAGTCTTGTCGCTTACTGAAGGAAATTGTACAAGCTGGTATATGGACCACACCTAACACCTTTATATTAGTTCCTTGTTACAACCCTAAATTTTATTTTAGGCAAGGTTAACTGTAGTATTCAAAGGATAAACTAAGCACAGAGTTAGCTGAACTTCCCAGTGAAAAAAGCTTTTTGTGCCTAGTGTTAAAATGATAGATGTAGTGTTTTGTTAGAGGAAAGAAGAAAGAGATAAAACTTAATATCAAGATGATTATAAACAAACACTGTTTGCTGAGGCACATAGAAGATAAAGTTGAATATAGGCTGATCAAGAAGAGGAAATAGCTGTAGTACATAATTGTACTACAGCTGCCCAGTGCTGGCTAACAATACGAAGAATTAAATTGTGGCGGAATGCTACAAGTTCAACAAAAGGTAAGGTAAAACACAATACAACTGTCCCATGCAACAGTAAATAACGTTTATGATTGGATCCTGCTACAGAAAGTAACACTTTTGGCAGAATTGTTACATGACCCGGATTGAAGTTTTAAAATGAATATGGAATGTATACTCTAGAAGAATGAGGTATCTGTATACCATAAGAGTAACCTGTCTATTGAGAACCTGTTTATCTCATGAGTTTCCTTTTTTGCTTAGTTTTAGTTTAGAAGGTTCTATTTACTTGAACTTGGTGGTAAATTATAAATTTCAGCATTCAACAGGACATTCAACAGATACTTTGTAATATACCTAATCCAAACTGAAGTAAAAACTGCCTCATCTGAGGAAAATTCCTAAATTCAGTGACGGTGGTACAGGTCACAACAAAAATCATTTTGCTAGTCTCCTCATTCTCATCAGTTCATAGAAAAAGGTGAGAATCCCCTGGGATGGTTCAGATAAACCCCCAAAAATGAGGAAGAAGAATGTTTTCTGTAAAAGAGGAAAATTCAGTTTTGGCAACTAAGCAGGTGCTTACTGGATTGGAATTATCCAAAACCTCACTGAATAATTTAGGGACTTTTTGCATCACATCTATATACCCAAGCGGGAAATAACGGTACCACAGGCTGTAGAATAATTTTAAATGATGGAAACTTATTGAGAACATGTTGTGTAGTATTCAGTTTCAAGTCTTGTGTCATCTTCATCAAAAAAAAACACACAGTAGAAAAGACCACAAGAGCCTATGAGTTCTAGAATCAAAAACTCAAAAAAGGTGAAGAGACAGTGAAGCTCGAGGAAGTAAAATTTACTGATTTAGTTTTTGCCCTAAAGAAAATATAAAGACATAATTTGATTCAAATAAAATGTTTGTTCCAGCTATATACAGGTCATGTAATCTGAATATTATTTAGATTTCTCTGGATTTGAAGGAGTAGGTTATCTTTGAGTTTTTTTACAGAAAAATGTGGAATATTATCTTCCTGTTTGCAGGTAAAAACAGTGACACCTTGAATTTACATGGCAAATGTCATAAACTTTGCTTGATTTTTACTTGGAACAAATCTATGTATCAAGTTTAGTGCACCAACTGTCATGAATTTATTTTTATTTTGTCATTGTGTGATAATGTAACTTGTGCCACAGTACAAAGTAAAAAGCAGAGCATGAAGTATTTCTTCATAAAATTAGAAAACCATGTGTTGATTGAAATAGTTGATCTTTTATGGAAGTTAAAACATATCAAGAAAATTAGTATTATGATGGTGATTTTTTTCTTTTTATATTCATTGAAATATTTTGATTATAGTTTGTTTTTTTTGTTTTGTTATCACTAGAAGCAAGATACTATAGAATGGTTTTCAAGTGAAAATTATGTCATTATGTATGTGTGAAATTTGTGGAAAAGGTTATTTTCTATTTTATATGTTATAATGTGTTATTTTCATTTGTGGTAGAGAAGCGGCAGAATATTCATGATTATGAGGAGGAAATGAAACTGCTTGGAAAAGAACCAACACCAGGGGATGGTTAGTAAACATATCATTTAACTGACAAATTTATGAAAACATTCCTCTAAGTTCACTATTGTATTTTGCTGGAAATAGATATTTGATGTTATGAAAAAAAAATATAGTATCTAAAGGCTGTTGATCCTTCAAAAAAACAATGAATTTGCTATGTTAGTTTTAGATAGTGTCTAAACATTGATTTGTGGCTGTAAATTGTATGTGGAACATAGATATTTAAAGATTTTTGCTTTAAATTTTTGCAAACCTGGGAGTACTGATGGTGAGTATTTATATGAGATATTCTTATTATTTAAGTAATTGAACTACACTAACTTTAATAAAGTACTTATTAATATGTTTTTCATACATAGTAACTTTTTTGCCCTGAAGCTTGTGTCTAGCTAAAAGATAAATTTCACTATTTACTTGATTATATGCCAGAGTCCATAGTGGTACAAATTACATAAAAAATGTAATTGTTGAAAGATCTTTAATAGAACATATTAATCAGGTTGATGAATTTCAACCATTCATGCCTGTAGAACAACTTGTAGCAAAATGACAATGGTTAGAAAAACACATTAAATTCATATAATAAATGAATCATGCTTAAAATTTATTTCCCCACAATAAATGATTTTATATTTTATAATATCCTTTGGTATAAATAAACTAGGAGATTGAAAATTTATTTTATACTTTAATAAATGTGCCCTTCTTGTTGAAAACATTTTCCATAGAAATAAAAGTAAATTAGGAACATAAACTTATCATTTGTAAATGTAAGTTTTGTTATTGACCAGAGTAGTAGGCAAATATACAAATATAGAGAACAAAGGTAAAAGAGAAAAATACAAATGTCAGGTTTTTTATATGTAGATGGGTAGGATTATTTACAGTAGGTGTCTGTGACTTGTTGGTGATAAATTTCAACAATAAAGAAACAGCATACAGTCCACTTCTTTAAAAATGATATATTAAAACAAATCAAATGTTTATACAAATGTTCATTACACAGTTTATCACCACAGTTGTATCCATAGCTTTAAATAATCGTCTTTTCGTCAAAGTCCATATAGGTTTGTTCAGTTACTTTAGAACAAAATTGACAAGACAAAGTATTCTTCTCTACTCTAATGTTACAATACACTCTGTGATAATTTCATTTTAACAAAAAGCACCACTATAAGCTCTTTACTGCTAAACTCACAAACACACAATCTAGCTCTTGCTATCTGTCTAACTAACTAACTAACTGTCTATTGTAATTTAACTACATTTTGTATGCATATTTATAGACTGACAGAGACCTAGAACATTTTAAACACTACCCAATAATATGATGCAATAACACTCAGTCGAAACAAGGAGAAAAAAATAGAAATAGATGCAATAATATAACAAGTGCCAATTCACAATTGAACTACACAATGTATTATTCGTACACAGTTATGTAAAAAAACCTACGATAAACTATCTCTTCAAAAAGTAACTAAGTTTAACACTTGTGCTATACTTAAACAGAAATAGTTATGTATATCTAACAACAAATGCCAGTAATAGAATTATAACTTATAAAACAGGAAATATTTTTCATAAATTGAGCCTTGAGCTACAAGTTAGTCTCTACAACTTATGAAATAAAAGGTTTCAAACAAGAATGAGTGATGTTAAAAAAACTCACTTTTTAGTATAACAACACAGGATAATGCAGTAATATACAAGAAACTTCTTGAGTATACGAGACTGTCTGCAGTCTCATCAGGGTTTTTTCTTTTATCCTGTATAGTAATATATTTTGTATTTTATTGTAATTTTGAGACTGAGAACAGTCATTTTTTGAATTGTGTACAATAAAATTGTTTTATTAAAAAGTAAGTATTTTAAAATGAGTATTACACAACTGCATATGAATTTTAATAAGAATGAGTATTACACAACTGCATATGAATTTTAATAAGAATGAGTATTACACAACTGCATATGAATTTTAATAAGAATGAGTATTACACAACTGCATATGAATTTTAATAAGAATGAGTGAATTTAATTGTAAATCTATGCTATTTTGTAGGCTAAAGCTGTTTCAAGAAACTATTTTAACCTTACATTCTTACTAAATATTTCATAAAATAATGCACTAATTATTTACAACTTTTGCTGTTTTTATTTTATTATTACAGATCACGAATTACAAGGTTTTGAGGTGATCCCTAAAAATTTGAAGCTCTGAGGTTATAACTGGAAGTAATGTTTTTTTTTAAAGTTGACTATCATACACGTGATATTATATGTTTAAAATTTTCTGAAATTTCCTGTTTATAAGATTATTACTTTGTATTATGAGGGCAGTGTATATTACTTATAGATAACTTAGGAAATATGGTATGGACAACATCTATGACTTCCACCTAACACACTTTGTTGAGAACTATTGTCACCTGGTATCAGAATCTTAGAATTAAATATTTTGGAAAGACTTTTTTTCTTAATGAAGTGTTTGATTGTTGCATATATATTAAATTTATTATGAAAACAACTTTCCAACTGTGAATATTTGTTATTTATTTTTCATATATCAGAATTGCTTTGAGAATAGTAGACAAGGACTGACTTGTATATTTATTGAGGTGATACAGTTACAGATTAGAATATTTCTTTTGTTGATAAATATGCAAGTTCCTTCATTAAGTGAATGTGTTTAACAGAAGACATTGCTCTTTATTTTGATTAGATATTGGAATGCATAGCCAGCAGGTAAAATAGTGATCTTGTTAAAAAAGAAAATATTTCATTGTTAATACAATAGATGACACCACTTTATAACTGAAAACTTCCTGTTTGCCCAAATTTGTAGCAATATTTTTCTCTTTTATAATTCATCTTTAAATTCTAATGTCTACAATTTCAGAATTATGATGTAAAGTTTTGTTTTTGAATTGTATATGTTATGAAAAAAACAAAAACATTCCTTTCTTTGTTAGAAATTTTTGCAGAATGGATGTCAGCAATTCATTTATTGAAAGTAGTTCTTTTGTTACAGAAGTGAGTGAACCTTTCTTGCTATCTAGTCAAGTTACAAATCTGAAATGTGATATTTTTAATTTGAGTACATTCTTGTCTATTTTGTTTGTTTTTATTTCCCAACTGTCAGATATGCTTTGTGAATAGTAGACAGGAGTTAAATTATATTTTGTTTATTGATGTATTACAGTTTAATAAAGTTTTAAGGAAGGTGTTTTGATCTGAAATTTTTGAATATTGTGTAAAAATAAATCTTAAGAAATAACTTTGTTTTTCATTGAACTTTTCTTTATATAATTTTAAAGAGTTTTCAAGAATATAATGTATGGCCAAAATATTTTTGGCCATTTGGAGAAAGACTTGCCAGTTGGTACAATTTATGAATTGCTAATTTGCAGAAAAGTGTAAAATTGTGCACATGAGGATGAAATTGTGTATTATTTATAACGTTGAGTAACCATTTTTGTGTGTGTTATCTGTAACCTTCAGCAACCATTTGTGTTTGCTGTATAAATGGTTATCTAGATAATGGCAGGGCGTCAAAAACCTTTAGATATTTAATTTGGTGTTTTTCACTACAGATATGTATATTATAAGTTAAAAGACCCTGGTTTTTGTTAAAATGGAGCTAAATGTTCTATGTCATTTAGTACAAATGTTTGTATGCAATGGTTTTTGAGACTTATCAAGCATCGAAAAGGTTAAATAAGCTTAGTTATACTGATGTTCTGTTACAAAAACTAAGAAGACTTTGTTTATATACAATTTACAAAAAATGTCATTGTACATTTTATAAATTTATTGAACATGAAGTATTTTGAAGTTAATTGGCAACTACCTAATTTCTATACTTAAAACAACTTTTTGTAATGAAAACCTGTTTATCCACCTTAGTAGCATTAAATAATATGCATTCACAGTTTAATGGTATATGAAACATCACTTCTGATAACTAGTTATTGGCTTAAAATTTGTTTTTTTTCAAATTTCATTTCTGAGATAGGTTAGCATTTTTCATGCATATCTAGAGATGGTGCCACCTGGAAGCATTTTCTTGATGTTCATACTGATATTGTTTTGAATGTGAAATTGGATAGTCCTAGTACGTAATGGGTGATTATTTTCAGTTACATAAATTATTACCATATAAAGCTAGAATCCACAACATAGATTTAGATAATAGTTCCTTGTAACTGGTATTTATTCAATTTTATTTTATCTTTTCTTTTACTTGATGGTTTAGTATATTTAACTGTTGTAATAATTAAATGTAGATATGGTTTGGATGTGTTGTATATTATAAATGGATAAATATCAGTGTTCATATGTGTTGTTATATCTTTTGCATGCATTTCTTCTGTGTGGTTGAAATCAAATTGTCATTTTTTAAATAGAAAGGAATGGGTAACACATTACAAACCACTATATGGTACAGAATGTGTGTAATTTTTAGGTTTACTATTCATGCTTAACAGTTCCTTTACATTTCGTGTCTAAATTTTTGAAATGTACAACCATTAAATTTATCAAGTAAAATCTAAAAATATTAAGTATATCACCTTTCATCTAGTATTCTCTTGTTCATACTTATAAAAAAAATTAAAGTCTGGTTTACAAAATGGTAAAGTTATATTATCTTGTAAATGACTTCAGTAATATTTTCTCTCTACCAGTTTCCTTACAGTATGTAGGGGTTAAGAGGTCTGTCAGGAATGGGCTACAAAGTGATTCCTCAGCATATTCCTTTAAGCATTTTTTTTTCTGCAGTATTTAACGATGTGAGAGATCAATCTTCTTAGCATTATTTCTCTAGAAATTGGTGAGGAAGACACCAGCTATAGGTAACTACGTCTGATCGACAATAATACGTGTAGTTTGAGATTTTGACTTCAAAGTAATATTAATAATGGCATCATTAAAACAATTGATCGTGTAAGAGTTATTGATAACTTGTAATAATTTGATAGAATATATATATATATATATACATATAATTAGGAAATAAAATTGAACCAATCATTTGAGAGTGGTAGATTTGATATGAACTGAGGAACTGAACTGATAATTCTTTGTATTATCTTCACATGTATGAAAATTAAATAACTTATTTTAGCCAGCAGAGTTCATCACATGCTCTAATAAATCATGTACAGGTACTGGTTTCTTGGAATTGACATCTTGCAGCTGGGATAGATATTGGTTCCGAACATGAATGTCTTAAGATATCATTTGAGTGTGATAAGTATTTGTGACAGTTTTCTTTATTTTAAGCTCCTTTTATTAAATGTAATGTTTGTATAGGATTTGGTGTAATATTTCTTCCATGAATGTAAATAAAATATTTAAATCACTGATTGTGCATGTGCTCATTTTAATGTTCTGCTGCTTTAAGCATTTTTGCTGAACAACATTCTACGAAAGTATTATGAAAAATGTAAAGCTACAGTTCAGTAATGTATACTTTGTACTGAATTTGCTGGAACTTATCAGTAGTTTCAGAATTAGTTTAAATACAAAAAAACACTACTAATTGTATGATTGCATATATTTTTAACATAAATAAAAAGGTGTAATGTATACGAAGAATAATTCCTCTCAAATACAATCTAATATTTTTATATATGGTAGTAATATACTCACATTTGCATATATTACTCAATGAAAAATCAAGTTTTCTGTTTGTTTTTTTACATGGAATATCTTATTAAAATAGCTTGTCATATTATTATTTGCTTTTAAAAAACAATTAAGTGGTTTCTTTCTATAGTGAAAATATGGCAAGTGATAACAAGGTCTATCTTGATGAATCCTGGTATTGAGAGAAAAGCCTTGTTGGCACTAGATACAGCAGATATCATGTGGTTGGCATATAAAATATTCTTCTTTACTTTCACCTGTAATGTCTTAGAATTCTTTTAAAAAGCTGGTGTTAATTCATCACAGAAATCAACTGATAACCTACACAGCTTGGGTGGTCACCAGCAAAAAGACTTATAAGACTGAGAAGAAGAATACTTGACAATAATTACATTGAATATCAAGTGGAATACTTTTCCCTGATGATGGAAAGAGTGTAACAGAAAAGATAATATGGTTTAAAAAAAAGTAATGAAAGGAAGAGATGAAAATCATGCAAAATGTAGGGAAGATGTGCAGTGGCTAAAAGCATTATTAAATGCCTCACCCAAAACATTGGAAGTGTGTAACATGTCCTTCAGGGTCAAACAGTGAAAAAAAAAAAAATACTAATAGAGAGAAAGTTAAGTGATATTTATTTAACCCATCCAGAAGTAATATATATTTTTTATCAAAAAATGTTTTAGAGAGGTTTTGCATCTGAAGTTGAGTGAAATAAGGTGACTTCAAATAATTTGAAAATGAGCTTATTTACGGAGAAAAGCATGATGGAAGTCAGTTATCTTTTGTTGTGAATAAGAATAAGCCAAGGATAACTATGTAACAGTACTCTATTTGAGACCTGATAAAAGATTTGTAAATTATAATTGCATGAAAAAAATACCTCTGAGTTTTAATAGCAATTTTTAAAAGATAACTCATTTTGCCATGCTGTATTGACTTAAGATAAAAGTTAAACCTAAAATTTAATAATGAAGAGAAAATCAAACTATGTATCATCGAAGTAAAGTTTTATTTGAGTGACAAGGATTAACTTAAGTCTTAAAAGTTTTAAATCAATTGTCTACAAGATTCATCGACCCCTAAAACTTCAAGTCTCATATTGTAACATGTACCACTGATGCTCTGAGTTGAAAATATTTTGAACATGTAGTGTCAAAAGGTAGGTGAAAGTATCTGCAACACAACAGAGTTGGGAAATGTTATGTAGAAAATAATTTTCAACACATATGCAAAGGAAACAAAAGAGATCTTAGAAAATATAAAGTTGTTCTTACTAAACAGGCAGGGCTTACAGTTTTGCTCTTTCTGGACTGGCTGCTGGATGATGGACAGTAAGACAATATGCAAGAGTACAAGAATAAATGAGAGCTAGAGATAAGAAACAGAACTGTGTGAATTTCCACACTTGCATAGTCAGACCAAGGTCCTATTCTTTAAATTCCACACCTCAATCATTGTTCTACATACATATTCCAAGCCAGTTTATAAAAGTTTCTTTATGACCTACTTGATAAGGCAAACTTCTCCAAAGTCCATACATGCAAACTTGAGCCTTATAAAGAAAAGTTGTGGTATGTAACTTTACTTCTGTATAATGAATAGTATCTTTGTGACATCTGGCCAACCCAGATGTAATTAACTAAAAGTAGAAACTGCATGGAAATTTAGAAAAATACATTCACATTAAGAAATATTCTATACCTGTTAAGAAAGAGTGGAGTATGATGACATTAAACTCCTTCCTTATCTTCAGGGTTTTTTCAAACCCTCATTTTAAAATAAATATTAGACTACAGGTCATAAGATGCAGTAGTATCTCCCCAAGGTGACACCCAAAGACAATGAATGGAAACACAAAAACTCCAGCAGCCAGCTGAAAAATAATAATAAAAACCTAACTTGAAAATAATTTTAAGTTAAATTTTAAAAAAGCTAAAATTAAGGTTAAATTACAATTTAAAAGAGAATAAAATGAAAACTCAACTTCAAATGAAATTACAATACATAAAATAATGATACAGTTCAGAATACACATCAAAATTAGGATATAAATCAGAGTTAAAATACATTTCTAATATAAAAAAAAGAATACAAAATGTGTTAAAGACCTTTGACCAGACCAGTTTATAACACACAATACAAAATTTCACTCAAGCAAGAAAAACCAGAATTTAAATAAATTACAAAACATTAATATTAATACAAATTCTGAACAAAATTTGGTGATGTGTATACAGTATACATTGATTTTGATATATACATACCCAAGTCCAAAATGCATGTAAAATAATTCAGAATTAATAGAAAATTATAAATACATCCAGAAAGTTAATTGCAAAGTAATTATTTACAGTAAGCCTTTAGAGAGACAATAGAGTTTATTTATATAGACTGCTACCTCTGTTGGCATTGATCCTATGGAAGACCTCTCTACCCTTTGTTTGACTACATGCAAGCATACTATCTTCTCTTGGAGTCGAACATTTCTTCTGAAGGCTCTTGACTGGCCAGTCCCCTGACTATGGCAACAGTCACTATTCAGTGAATACAACTATATCACATAAACATGAGTCTTCTGCCATTGTTTGTTTGACACTGAGATTACCTCATATCCAATGGGAAAGGAGGGGAGTCGAGTATAGAATTGAAACAAACAACTTACAGTGATAACTGAAATTAACTATTTTACAAGCAGTGATAAATGCTTCTAACCTTGAAGGTTTCATAACTTTTCAGTTAACTCCAACTTGCCTTTTGATACAAGTTAAACATAATATGTTTATACAAAAATAGTGTTATAACACTATAACTAAATGTAGTTAACAAAATTCATAGATAACAACTACTTTGTTTAAAATAACACTGAGATAAAATCATTCAATAATATCCACAAAATACAGAAAGAGTTCAGTAATACCAACCAAAATATTTATAAATCAAAACCACTCAAAAACAAAAGAAACACTAACTTTTCATTCATTTTGAAAGAGTAAGTATTCATGATTTCACTCTTCAAAACTAAGAAAAATGTACAAATATTGTGGTATTTGGAAAAGTATATATTTTCTTATCTTAGAAAGGAAGATAACTGTTTAGTTTACTAAAGTTTTCAAAATATTTCAGTTATAGATGCTTTTAAGAGTGCTTACAGAATTTCAATACAGGAAATCCACCTTATACAGTGTTGACTTTATTTTATTTGCTAGTTACACATGGATGATATTTGTGGAAATTTAGTTGTATCTGCATTATTCAGTAGCATTGCTATGTTTAGGTTTAGAAATGCCTGGAGGATAAACTCTTCATTTGGGACAACCAATAACTGCACTGTGAGAGAAATGAAATTATTGTTTCCATGTATGTATAATGTCATACTCTCTTATTTTAGAACAGAATATTGAAATTTCTTGAAAACAGGTAGAGGATTTCAAAATATCTCTAATCTAAAAACACTGTTTGACATTCTGTACACTCATCTTTTGCCTTGTTGTATTAAATAAAGATTGATCTTATTTTGTTTAACATTGTGGTCAGTCCTTTTACTTCAACTCATTTAAGTCAAATTTTCAGTTTTAACTCAATGCTAATTTTTCCTTATTTTGATGGGTGTACTTTTTTGTTCTTTGTACTTTTGTTGCATAAGTTTGTACTTTGGAAATGGTATTTTATAGATGAAAGACTTAAGCACGGAGGGAAGATTTCATTGTTGAGGGTAGACCATGAGTCAATGTAATAACTAATAGGGTCCAGAAGCCCTCTTCTGAACATAGGTCTTTTGCAAATGCTGCATAGAGCTGTATATCTGGCTACAAACTCAGGAAGGAGAACTGTAACCTGGGATCTACAGAATTGTTGAACAGGAGCTATCCCTAAACAGTACTCTCAGCTCATAAGAAGCATAGACAACTGAGGGACCATGAAGTGACTTGCAGCTGGAGGTCTCTATAAGATACTCAGAGTGTCACTGATAAGAGCAACCCAAAAACCAACCCTGGTCATCGACACCTGTGACCAACCAAAGAAGATGGAGGTGCTGCTGGTGGATGAATCCCGCCAGTAGAAGTGTCTCATTACCAAGAGAAATAACAAGCACTGATTGGTAGCGTTGGTGACACATGGTGCAGACAAAATTCTCTCCAAGATGGAAGGCATGCTACTGACACAGTAGGCCCTAAACTATGGGGTCATATACAGTTGAAAGACAAGTTTCTACATCAACTTGTCATTCTGCCCACAGGAGCAGGGGTCAAATGTTAGTTTAAGTGTAGGTATCCCTAGTCACCAACCCTAGTGTATGCTTTGTATACCATGGGTGTGTCAACCTGGTGTCGACTGGAATTCCACTAAACATGACTTGTTTTCAAAGTTTCAGATGCAAGTGAGATGAAACAAATTTCTCTTCTGTTATTTAATGGTACAGTTAAGGAAGACTTAGACTGCTTCCTTAAATATTTTAAATAGATCATTGCTTGCAATGTGTGGAATCATAGACTTGAATGCAACACCATATCTTTGCATACTAACTTAGGTAGATGGTTTTCTTCATCTACATGGGAGGTATATCTCAGTATGACATCAGTGGATCATGATAATATCTCCGTGGATGATTTTGGGGAGGGACTGTCAAACAAAGCTATATGGCATCACTTAGGTGTTCGAGACATCTGCACCTCAATGGTGGCTGTATCTGAAATGGCTAGGTTTGAAGTGGCAA